CAACACTTTTGTTTTTGCTCCCATTTTTCATGAGCTGAACTCAAAGATCTAAAACATTTTCTATACACACAAAAGACCATTTCCCTCAAATATTGTTCACAAATCTGTCTAAATCTGTGTTAGTGAGCACTTCTCCTTTGTCGAGATAATCCATCCCACCTCACAGGTGTGGCATATCAAGATGCTGATTAGACAGCATGATTATTGCACAGGTGTGCCTTAGGCTGGCCACAATAAAAGGCCACTCTAAAATGTTCAGTTTTATCACACAGCACAATGCCACAGATGTTGCAAGTTTTGAGGGAGCGTGCAATTGGCATGCTGACTGCAGGAATGTCCACCAGAGCTGTTGCCCGTGAATTGAATGTTCATTTCTCAACCATAAGCCGTCTCCAAAGGCGTTTCAGACAATTTGACAGTACATCCAACCAGCCTCACAAAAGTGTTGCGTTTATATTTTTGTTCAGTGTATTTTAATTGTACTATTAATATATATTTTTATACCGTTCATAATAACTTTAATACTGTTCATAATTCGTTTTACACTGTTCATATTTACTTCTATACTGTTCATAATATTTACTTCTATACTGTTCATAATTAGTTTTACACTGTTCATATTTACTTTTGTACTGTTCATAAATTCACTTTTATACTGTTCATAATAACTTTTATACTGTTCATAATTCATTTTACACTGTTCATATTTACTTCTATACTGTTCATAATATTTACTTTTACACTGTTCATAATATTTACTTCTATACTGTTCATAATGTTTACTTTTATACTGTTCATAATTTATTTTACACTGTTCATATTTACTTTTATACTGTTCATAATATTTACTTTTGTACTGTTCATAATATTTACTTTTATACTGTTCATAAATTCACTTTTATACTGTTCATAATATTTACTTTTATACTGTACATAATTAGTTTTACACTGTTCATATTTACTTTTATACTGTTCATAATATTTACTTTTGTACTATTCATAAATTCACTTTTATACTGTTCATAATAACTTTTATACTGTTCATAATTTATTTTACACTGTTCATATTTACTTTTATACTGTTCATAATATTTACTTTTGTACTGTTCATAATATTTACTTTTATACTGTTCATAAATTCACTTTTATACTGTTCATAATATTTACTTTTATACTGTACATAATTAGTTTTACACTGTTCATATTTACTTTTATATTGTTCATAATATTTACTCAACCCCTACCCCTCTTTATCGAGTGCCCCTTGCCCCTTGCAACAAAGTTACAAGGGGTAGGGGTTGAAATATTCCCCTATGAAATGGGACAGTGTTAAAGTAAACATTATGAACAGTATAAAAGTAAATATTATGAACAGTATAAAAGTAAATATGAACAGTGTAAAACTTATGTGCAGTAATTAGCACATCAACAATTAGCACATTTCATCTGTTTTTCACTGAGGAAATCTATGACATCGTGGTCAACATGACAAATCTGCAGGTAAAGTAGAAACTATTACACTCCTTAGATAACATTTTCAGCATAATTTAACAATACTGAGATAATATTGATGAGTGTAATACTTGTGTTCATAATAATTTATGAAATTTTCATACTGTTTTCATCTCTATGTACAGGGCCATCGGCTCTTGCAGAAATGGACACCTGCGTGCAAACTGGAGATGCAGGCCTTCATCGGCCTTCTCTTGGCTGGTGTGTACAAATCACGTGGTGAAAACACCCTGAGCCTCTGGATCAAGGATGGCAGGGATATCTTCCCGGCAGTAATGTCGAGGAAGAGGTTCAACATCATATCCAGGATGCTAAGTTGGATTTTCATTTATTATATTGAGTCATTCAATTATAATTTAATTTCATGTCAGATAAATTATTTTTTATAAATGAATATATTAATAAATAGTTTTTAAAAATCGAATTAAAAATAGATGTATACATGCGTTTATCCATTCATTTCGTCTAGGTGGATAAAGGGATGTGTTGTGACATTGTTATTATTATTAATCGATTAGGTTCGATGACCGTGAAACATGAGCGGCACACTTTCGGCGGGACCATGACAAATTGGGACCAATCAGAGAAGTCTGGGACATCTGGGTCTCCGCTGTGCAAAAGATGTGGGCACCTTGTTCAGAGGTCTGTGTGGACGAGATGCTGATTGGTTAGTACTGTATTGTATTTTACTGTATTCTGTTGTATTGCATGTACTTTATTTGACAGTGACAATAGACAGAATTAGCTAGAGTGCTAAAATTCATCTGCATTCTCTGTGTCCCCAGGTTACAGTACAGTACATGGCAGTACATGCCTTCAAAGCCAGACAAGTAACATTTATTTTTATCTAATTATCATCATTGCATTATATTGGCTTTTATGATTTTATATTTAGCATCCATTTGATAGGCCTTATCATATTTATCATTTGAAATTACGATTGTCATTCATTTATTGATTCATTCTCTCACTCACTCATTTAGATATGGATTGAAGATGTGGGTCCTCTGTGAGTGCTTTACATCTTACTGCTGGAATCTTCAGATTTATCTGGGGAAACCATCCCCAACAGCAAAACGTGAGGTAAGCATTTTATAGATCAAAATTCTTAGGTAAAAATTGGTTTACACAGAGAAAATGCAGAGCTTATTGCAACTTCACATTTCGCCACACAGTCTCAACATTCCTTTAATCTTTCTTTCTCTTTGTTTTCATTCAGGTGGGCCTAGGGAAGCGCGTGGTGATGGAGCTGACGGTGGGCCTTAGGGGAACCGTGACTGCCGACAACTTCACGTCTCGTGACCTGGGGCAGCAGCTGCTAAAGAGGGGGATGGCCCTCGTTGGCACAATCCGTAAAACCAAGCCAGAGCTCCCACCACAGCTCCTGCAGATGAGGGAAAGGGAGGTGCTGTTCACCATCTCTGGATTCACCAAAGACACGATGGTCTGCTCCTACATGCCTAAGGATCGAAAGCTGGTGGTGCTCCTCAGTACAAGGCACCGGCAGCCAGTGGTGAGCGAGGAAGAGCACAAGAAACCTATAGACTATAGGACTAAAGACTATAATCGGTGCAAGGGAGCGGTGGATAACCTGGACATGGTATGCTTTACTCATGAGTATACTGTCTTTATTGTACCTTTTCGGGGATATTAGTTTGCAGCCCATTTGAATATATGAATGAATTTTTATCATGCAGGTTATCGGCACCTACACATGCCGCAGGCAGACAAGGAGGTGGCCAGTGGCTGTCTTATCCTGAATATTGGACATCTCCTGCTGGAACGGCTTCCTTGTTTGGACGGCTCTAAACCCAAAATGGGAAGTAAGGAAGACACACCGCAGGAGGCTTTTCATTGACATCCTTGGGAAGGAGCTTGTCCGCCCACACATGGCCAGGCGAATCTGGTTGCCCCAGGCTGACAGACCACGCAACCAGGTGATTGAGGTAAAGGCCTGGGGCCAGCAGTAAGAAGAAGAGGCTGCTGCTCAGCCACTGGCCACTCCCCGACGACCACCCACTACCACCCACGAGACACAAGCTGCAACCTGCCAGACACAAGCTGCCACCCGCTACAACCTGCATGCAGCCATGCAGCAAAAGCTAATTGGTTTCATGTTTTACAATTCGATCACAACAATTACATCAATTAATAAAAACAAAATTGATCTTATGTTTCCTGTCATTATCTGTCATAGCTGTAAATATTCAAGTCAGGCTGAACTTCTGTTGATTCAGTTTCACTCAGGTTAAAGGTTTTGTGTAGAAAATACAGAGAAAAGACTGATCTTTTGTTTCATTTTAATGTGAAAAGCAGTTTTTTAGCATGAAAGTTTGCTTTTGATACTTGAACTATGTTTTTCTGAGATCACCCTTTGTAGCATGGTTCTGTTTCAAAAGAAAAACAATAGACTATATACAAGAATTCAAAATATTTGATCAATTCATTTTTTCTTAGAGTGTGTCAGTGATCAGTCTGGCTGACTGCTGAGCAGATGTTGTCAAGTTTTTCATGACTGCGTAAGTCATCCTGTTCACACGATCTTTTTTTGGACCAAAAGGAACTTTCTGGCACCAACAGCACGCGACAGTCACCGTCAGTCTGAACCTGAAGGTTTCATGAAATTAACAGAACAGGAAAGTAGACGGGTTGGCCTTCAAATTAAAAGCGTAGAAATTGTCATTTAAAACATAGCTGTTTTGATCCATCAGCTTGATTTTTTTTTCTCAAACTCAGAGCAGTCTACAAAAGAAAACACAGACTTGAACATTTAAAAAAAAACAACGTTATACTCCCACAAGATCAGGCCCCCTTTTTTTTCCAACACAGAACATTAATTTCAACTTTAATTACAACATTTAGTAGAACAAGACGTGCTGTCCGGCCACCAGATGGCGCTATTTTCACCGGCTTTAGAAATTAGAATTGCTGCTGAGGCTGTAAGACCATAGACTTTATCATTTTATCCACTTTGCTTCAACCGATCACCACCAAAATTTTTATCATCTGTTCCTTGTCCCATTATCCTCCTATCCTGAAAGTTTCATCAAAGTCCGTTCATAACTTTTTCAGTTATTTTGCAGACAAACAAACAGACCAAAGCCGGCGAAAACAACCTCCTTGGCGGAGGTAATGATAAAGGCCCCTTCACATCATGGATGTATAAAAAGAACTGGATAAAGCGTTGGAGGCGGGGCCCCATTTAATTACAGTGAAAGTTGCTCAGTGGCACATAAGGCCAAAAAAAGTTTTACTCCGGTATAATACTACCCAGATCTTCCCTATCCATTGGCCCATAGAGCAGGGGCACTCGAGACATCCACCAGCCAAGAGGCTAACTTCCAATTCAGCACTCTGCTTACTTGTCAGGCTGAATTAGTCTGCGCCCAGTTTGAAAGAGAGACTGAATAATAAGATATATATATATATACAGTACAGGCCAAAAGTTTGGACACACCTTCTCATTCAATGCGTTTTCTTTATTTTCATGACTATTTACATTGTAGATTCTCACTGAAGGCATCAAAACTATGAATGAACACATGTGGAGTTATGTACTTAACAAAAAAAGGTGAAATAACTGAAAACATGTTTTATATTCTAGTTTCTTCAAAATAGCCACCCTTTGCTCTGATTACTGCTTTGCACACTCTTGGCATTCTCTCCATGAGCTTCAAGAGGTAGTCACCTGAAATGGTTTTCCAACAGTCTTGAAGGAGTTCCCAGAGGTGTTTAGCACTTGTTGGCCCCTTTGCCTTCACTCTGCGGTCCAGCTCACCCCAAACCATCTCGATTGGGTTCAGGTCCGGTGACTGTGGAGGCCAGGTCATCTGCCGCAGCACTCCATCACTCTCCTTCTTGGTCAAATAGCCCTTACACAGCCTGGAGGTGTGTTTGGGGTCATTGTCCTGTTGAAAAGTAAATGATCGTCCAACTGAACGCAAACCGGATGGGATGGCATGTCGCTGCAGGATGCTGTGGTAGCCATGCTGGTTCAGTGTGCCTTCAATTTTGAATAAATCCCCAACAGTGTCACCAGCAAAACACCCCCACACCATCACACCTCCTCCTCCATGCTTCACAGTGGGAACCAGGCATGTGGAATCCATCTGTTCACCTTTTCTGCGTCTCACAAAGACACGGCGGTTGGAACCAAAGATCTCAAATTTGGACTCATCAGACCAAAGCACAGATTTCCACTGGTCTAATGTCCATTCCTTGTGTTTCTTGGCCCAAACAAATCTCTTCTGCTTGTTGCCTCTCCTTAGCAGTGGTTTCCTAGCAGCTATTTGACCATGAAGGCCTGATTGGCGCAGTCTCCTCTTAACAGTTGTTCTAGAGATGGGTCTGCTGCTAGAACTCTGTGTGGCATTCATCTGGTCTCTGATCTGAGCTGCTGTTAACTTGCCATTTCTGAGGCTGGTGACTCGGATGAACTTATCCTCAGAAGCAGAGGTGACTCTTGGTCTTCCTTTCCTGGGTCGGTCCTCATGTGTGCCAGTTTCGTTGTAGCGCTTGATGGTTTTTGCGACTCCACTTGGGGACACATTTAAAGTTTTTGCAATTTTCCGGACTGACTGACCTTCATTTCTTAAAGTAATGATGGCCACTGGTTTTTCTTTAGTTAGCTGATTGGTTCTTGCCATAATATGAATTTTAACAGTTGTCCAATAGGGCTGTCGGCTGTGTATTAACCTGACTTCTGCACAACACAACTGATGGTCCCAACCCCATTGATAAAGCAAGAAATTCCACTAATTAACCCTGATAAGGCACACCTGTGAAGTGGAAACCATTTCAGGTGACTACCTCTTGAAGCTCATGGAGAGAATGCCAAGAGTGTGCAAAGCAGTAATCAGAGCAAAGGGTGGCTATTTTGAAGAAACTAGAATATAAAACATGTTTTCAGTTATTTCACCTTTTTTTGTTAAGTACATAACTCCACATGTGTTCATTCATAGTTTTGATGCCTTCAGTGAGAATCTACAATGTAAATAGTCATGAAAATAAAGAAAACGCATTGAATGAGAAGGTGTGTCCAAACTTTTGGCCTGTACTGTACATATATATATATATATATATATATATATATATAAACAACATTTTCACAGGCCTCTGTGCTGCTTTCTACCATTTACTTACCTGTTTTCCGGCCTGTTGCTGATGTCGAATATGACACATTAGTAAAAAATATATCAGAAAGGCATGCACATCTGCTTCAGAGCCATGTACACAGCTCTGGTCTACTGGCAATTGGAAAGCAGTCTGCAACAAGCAAAGCATAAACGCAGCCATAGCACACCTCCGGTGATCTCGCACTGCTGCTCCTGAAGTCTAAGCTGATTGAACTGAAGGAACAGTGCTGTGCTGCATGCTGAAGCTAGCAACCAGCCCAGCTCAAAATGTGACAACCACTGCCTCTGGAACCCATTGTTTCAGTAGGTCGCACCATGACGCCTTTTCACTGCGTTTAGCAAAGCGAACGCATGTAGCGAGACCTTGGGAGGAAAGCACGTTTCCAACCAAGTCATATCAGGTGTGTGTATCAGACTGAGAACATAACAGTGATTGACTGTTGACCTTGCGCTAGGTTGCGCTATTCTCAGTAGGTTGACTAGCTAATATTAGCATAGCAAGTCTAGAGTAGCTAAAGGCAGACAGACGAGCATCGTGGTTCTGTGGCCCTTCAGTGGCTGCATCCTTGTAGCCTTTCAAAATAAAACCACTATTGAAGGTTGCTGTCAGGTGATAGTCACGGTGATAATGGTTACGGTAAAACTGGTGCACAGGCACATCTCTGGTGCTTCTTCATGAAAGCCTTTATTCTTGCTGCTCTAAACATCCATGAAGGAGTTTATACTGAGCATCACATCCAAGTCAGGAAAAACTGTCCTTGAAAGGAAAGCAACTTAGTGACAAAAATAAACTAAGCAGATGTACTTTGTCCTCTTCTTCTTTCAGATCTTTTATTTATTATCTGTAGTTGTTTCTCTTTCGAACAGCGCCTGCGGTGAATAACACGCTGCATCGGTGACCACTTATCTCCAAAATCTGTCATAGGAATCTATAAAAACAAGATCAATCAAACAAACTTTCTCAGTAAAGTGTATTCAGTAGTTGGATTTATGGAGTTGGGCTCCTGTTGGCAACGCTCCGTCTTTGTTCAGCCACAATGACAGTTGCTGCTCATGATAATTATCTTCCCACTTGTTCATTTTCTGCACTGAGGGATTTGGCAGCTCTTAGTACAGCAGATGTAAAAGCTTTCATAAAAAGTGCAAACAACATTATTGTGCTGGATTGGAAATATAAAGTGGAGAAAATAAGTAAAACAGACATTCAGTTTGCCTACAAATATTGTTAATTACCGTTTTAACATATTCTTGTCAACCTGCTGTAATTTAATGGTAATTTTTGCTCGGGTGCTTTAAGAGGACAAGGTTGGATGTGCTGCCTGCATGTTAAGCACCGAGACGAGCACATATCCAACTCAAAATGTCATTAATTAAAGCTCTGCAGAAGTGACACAGCAGGTGAACTCGTGTTTTTCTACCAGAGTTGCAGCTGCATTTATGCGTATGGTCAGGGTGTTGTGACAACTGGGAAATAAACAGCACCATTTGTGATGACTCAAATGTACCTGGAGGTAAAAAACATTGAGACGCTTTAGCAGCAGCTTAACAAGTATTGGATGGATTGCCATGGTATGCAGACAATCAATCCCACTGACTTTGTTAATTTCGTGACTTTTCCTCTGGCACTACTATAAGGTTGACCTCTAAGTCCTGCACAGCTCAAGTTTTGCAAACCGGCACCCGCCGTCCCATTACACGTAATTATCTCCATGTCAAATCCAGAGCCGTGACTCAACGCACTGTTTTACTTGTCTTATTCAGATGTGCAAAGCACTCAATCAGTCAGCTCCCACTTGTTGATGTGATGCAAAGTGACACAAAGATTACTGATTTAGTGGTAATTATCCGTGCACATATCAAAAGTAACTGCCCCTATTACGAAAGTCAGCTGCATCCTCAGCTCATATAATGTTTCGTCGGAAGTCAGATTGTCAGATCAGGCAGAACCTGCTGAGCGTCCACACAGTCAGCTCAGGCACTTATGAATATTTTTCTAATCACCTCCTGCCCACTCCACATTTGGTTCATTTTGACCCGTGTCTGTGAATGTATATACTTTTGTTTCCCCGTAACAGGCTATTGGTTGGTTACCTGCAGGGTCGGACTCTGGTTCACATTTATGGTTTTTACCAACTGTTACAACAGTTTACAACTGTTGGATGGATTGCCAGAAAATTCATGTCCGTATTTCCCTCAGGATGAAATCTAATTTGCCTCAGTGACACCATGACTTCTCATTTAGTACTATCACTCTTTCAAAAGTTGGTTTTAACTTGTCCAGCACTTTGGTTTATGACGGAATATCTGCAAAACTTATGACATTACCATCAGCGTCAGTTGTTTTTTTGTGCCTATTAGCAATGTTAAAGATAATTTTTTGGGCTTTTTGCCTTTATTATAGGACAGCTTGAGAATGACAGACAGGGGGCAGAGAGAAGGGGGAGGTCCATGGCAAAGGGCCACAGATTGGAATCGAACCCAGACACTCCACCAGGTAAGAGGTCACCCCCATTAGCAAATGTTAGCATGCTAACACGCTATACTAAGATGGTGGACAGTTACATTTGATCTGCTTAACTTGAAACACCAGGCCACACACTCAGCTGTCGGTCAATGTCAGGCCGTTGTCCTGGTTTTTGTGGTGTGTCCTGCACCGCTGATTCGTACACACAGTCAGTGGTGTACTGGTGGCTAATGAGGTGGCTACTTGGTAGATGGGTCGGTTACTTAGAAGGAAGTAGGCATACTCTCCTATATAGTCTCATGCCTTTTTGACTGATAGGCAGGTATGCTGTAATTGGTCAGAAAAAAGATGTGGGTATACCCTCCACTACACCACTGCACATTTTTTGTGTTTATGATAGGACAGTTTGAGAATGACTGTAAAGGGCATGACCATGGCAAGAGGCCACAGGCTGGAATTGATCCTGGACTGATGCAGGACTCAGCCTAAATGGAGCGTACACTCTACCAGGTGAGCTAGAGGTTACCCCATATTAGCAAATGTTAGCATGCTAACACGCTAAACTACAGTGGTGGACATTTAAACATCATACCTGCTAAACATCAGCAGTATCACTGTGCCTAAGGCTCCTGAAACACCTGGCTAACAGTTGGCTGTCGGACAATGTGAGGCCGTTGGTGAGCATCTTTTTGCAATGTGTCCTGCACCGTTGGCACTAGTCGGCCCTTGTCTGCTGTTTTTTGGCTGATTCAGCATGTTGAATCAGCATTGGAGCTGGTGGAGCCAGTTGGCAAGAGAAATCTGTTCGTTAGCGCACGGTAAATATCATTTGTTCTTTCAACATCGAATTGTGTTGTTAATGTGCGAACTGGTTAACTAGCATCTTGAATTCGCCCTGTAAGTCTACTGGTTGACCTTTGTGAGTGATGAGTACAGATTACCACCACCTGCTGGTATGGAGAGTTATTTCTTGTAGTCCTGTGGCTGTAGTCTTTGCGGTGTGTTCAAGCGCAACTTTTTGACTGAGACACAGGCAACATGAGGTGACACAACAGTTTGTCACTTTGAGATCAATTTGGTGTGTCTGTGCCTTCAGAAATCCAAATCATTCAAATAGTTTAACTAAATTTCACTGCCTCAGCACTCTTACACTGCGATCTAACATTCTTACCTTTGACATAGGCTGAACACTGGACCGTCTGTCGGCCCAGCTGCAGCTGCAGACCCGTCACCGAGCTGCTCCCACCGCAGGGTGAACTGTCCTGACCGGGTACCAGTCTAATAACACAAAACAATCTCCTCAGTCGTTCAAACCAAACACTTTTTGGAACATTTAATTTCATTTTATACCGTAGCTGTCTCCCAGAAATAGATCCTCTCATCATGTGTCACTCTGAGCTTTTTATTAAAACGTCAGTCAAAAGATTGTGCAGCTGGGGTTTTATTAACTTGCATTTTGAAGACAAACAGTGCACCAACGTTTACTGTTTGTCTGTTACCTATTTAAAGCTGATTTGAAATTAAGATGAGAACAAAATGTCCCATCCTCTTAAGCCAGTGCACAGACTCTGATCTGGAGACTGAGCTTTATTTGGCATTTTAATATCTTTCCTTAAAATTGAAGGTGATGTCTGGTCTATAAGGATCTGGGAAAACCTACCTGAAGAGCTTACAGGCTGTCGTTATTTAAGCTCTCCTTTTCAGCCAGTTCTTTTAATATTTCTGCTGTTATCTTTAGACTTTTTCTTGATTTTACTTTCACTGTTCTTTTATCAGCGTTCTGGTTGATTTGATTGTCAAAGCACTCAAAAGATGACAGATGATAAATGTGTGGTGAGTGTGTTTGTAGTAAAGTGCAGGTCATTTCTTACCCCAGCCTCTGGCAGCAGGAGCTGGAGATGTGGTTATGTTGGCTGCTGGTGTTGATGGATGCCTTGACTTCAGTCTCGCAGCACTATGGAGAACACAGAGGGGAGGTTTTGGTGTCACAGTGTGATTTTTCAACTTCAGTATGGCACTGCAGCACACCGGGAAACAACCAGTCACAACAGCACATTAACACAACTCCGGGGAGCCTTTCAGAAACCACTGATCTCTTTTTTCTTTTGAAAGAATCCAAATCCATTCGGCTCCCACGCGCCACTGAATTTGCCAAACTGCAAAGTTGACTGTTAATCAACTTTGCACAAACAAAACAAATCTCCCATCGGGGGAGCATCTTCAAGCTAGCTCTTGTTTTTAGAGCGTTTGCTCGAGTCAAATGTTATTTTGTGTTTGTAACCCAATCTGTATTGATTCTGTGTTGGAGTCTGAAATCACAACTTGTCTGTTAAATGCTGCAGGCGTTTGGTCCAACAGCCTCACGGTTAAGTTAAAAAATAAACCATCAAGTACATTCTGTATCTCATTACAGATCATGAGTTGTTTATTCGATTATTAACTGGCCTGTTCAGTTCACGTTGCTGACTCTGTTTCCTGTCAAGATGCTGATTCTTCAGTTTGTTGAGTGCACTTTGATTTTTCAGACTTAATGAAAGCATCACCAGAGCATGAATTATTAACCAAGTGAGTCATATGTGCATTTAACTCATTAGTCAACCAAACAACTCCACACTGATGAGTAAAGTGATCTATGGCAAGCCACATGATTCATTATACAACCTCAGAGCTCACTGTACTGCACTTAATGGTTATTTATTATCTTTAAAGCAGCTATAATTAATATTTTTTATAATATGTTGGCTCATTTGACAAATTGTGAGAGGAGTCACTTGCCTGTGCTGACAGATTAACAGATAAAGTAATTTGCCTGCAGTTCCCTCAGCTCTATGGAGGTTTGTTAAATCTTTGAGTTCATAAATTGCTGCAGGGATGATGTTTATTTGTAGGCCAGCTCCAGGACGAGACACCTCCACCTGGAGTAACGTTAGTATCCAGCTGGGCTTTATCTAGAGCTGGTGAGATATATTTCGGCCGCGCTTTGGAAAGCAGAGCTAAAAAGGTAAACAAACGTGGCAACAAACATGGCAGGTTTCTATATGTTCTCTGACATTTATCCTAACGATATGAGGCGGTCTTTGTGGAAAAAAAGCTTGTTTAGTGGACTAACTTTGCACTTGAAGTATGCCCGTTCACTTACGTTTTAACAGGTCTGACGCTACTATGCGCCCCGGCTGTATCTAGGCTAACGGCTAACATTCATTCATTCATTCATCTTCTAACCGCTTCATCCTCTTGAGGGTCGCGGGGGGGCTGGAGCCTATCCCAGCTGACATCGGGTGAGAGGCAGGGTACACCCTGGACAGGTCGCCAGACTATCACAGGGCTGACACATAGAGACAAACAACCATTCACGCTCACATTCACATCTACGGACAATTTAGAGTTATCAATTAACCTAGTCCCCAATCTGCATGTCTTTGGACTGTGGGAGGAAGCCAGAGTGCCCGGAGAGAACCTACGCTGACACGGGGAGAACATGCAAACTCCGCACAGAAGGGCTCCCACACCCGGGATCGAACCGGCAACCCTCTTGCTGTGAGGTGACAGTGCTAACCACCACACCACCGTGCCGCCCTAACGGCTAACATGCTAACTATTATTTTTATGTCACTAGTCACTTGAAACAAATTTAGGATGATAGGAGACAGGTTGAAATAAACCGAAATTTCCTTTTAAGACACCATAAAAAACTGGTTTCAAAGCCCAGTGCACCTTCTGGGGGCCCATAAAAACACTACGGTACACTGTGCTCAGCAGCAAACAGCAGACAGATACAATAAGCAACTAGCTGGTGAACACAGTGGAGCATTCAGAAGCTAAAGAGAGATATTTTCCTCAGGAGTTGGTGGAGACCAAAAACAAAGCAAAAAGAGAGTGAATATTGGACATTCATCCACAGGTGAACACAAACATGACTCCAAATGAATGCTGAAGTTGCTTTATATCTGCTGGATATATATTAGCAACTGTATGCCAACAACTTTGACATATCACCTTGTTTCCACTGCCTCAACATGGCCAAGAATAAGCAATTATTAAAGTCACAGTCGACATTTTGGAAAATACACTTAGTGACTTTTCATTGCCAAGAGAAGATTAATATCATTCTCATGTTTGTCAGTCAAATGTAAAGCTACAGGAGACAGATGTGCTGTGTTCTATTTGCTTCAGAAATTAGCGCTTGGATAGACGTTGCACCCCAGTTGACCATGTTCCAGTAGGTCGGAGTTTGGTTAAGTTCCTCCGAATTTCTGAGTCGGAAATCCAACTTCAGGGGGCTTTCCAGTTGAGGTTCCCGATAAATTTCCTAAAGAGCACACCATTGGCTTAGCTTACCTTAGCTTACTGTAGCTAACAGAACAGCTAGCCTGGTTTGGCTCAAAGTTTAGAAAAACACCAGCATCTCTACAGCTCACTAATTAGCACACTATATATTGTTTATTTAATCTTAGCTAAAGCGTAAAAACTGCTAACTGTACAGTGTCCCGGGAATTAGCCCAAAACCCAGAAGCGAGTTAGCATTTTACTGCTTCCAGTTCCCTTGTCTTGAAGTCAATGAGTTGTTTGTATACGTTTTTGGTCAGATGCCTGAAATAATGTCTGTAGTTAACACAAGTTTAAGAGACTTTCATGTTTTGTTCTACGACATAAAATACGTCAGTAAATACTCCACCCGTGAATTTTGAAGCAATTATATGTTTTAAAAAAAGTGGTTGCTAACAAGTGGCTGAATGAGACAGTAGAACATCATCACGTCGAAGATGGTTACAGCCTACATGTGGTATGGATGTGAAGTCAAGCTAAGGTGGTGCAGTTTGTTTATCGCCTAATGTTAGCTTTTTACTTATGGTGATTGCACGTCGGCTTCAGAACACGTGAAAGTGATGTTCATTAGTGCAGATTATCTTGCTGAACAAAACGTGCGAGTGTCATAAACATTTGTTTGCCACAGAGCTTATTTTCTGCAATAATCCAAAATCCAATTAAGAACTCCCAAAGACATTTTGTCGAGGGAACCAGGGTGATGCTAACCTCTGTGTAGGCCTACAGGGAAATGTCATCCCTGGAGCACTCTTTTTCCCCTTGATGGATCCAGTCTTTATGCTAAGCTAAGCTAACGTCTCCAGGCTGTAGCTTCATGTCTAACAGACAGATGAGAGCGTTATCATCTTAGCTAACTTTTCGCTTAAAAAAACAAATAAGTGTATTGACAAAACGTCTATTCCTTAATCAGACGTCTCCCATCACTCCAGCTGGAGTTTCACAGTAGTAACACTAACAGGCAGCTTGTCCTAATCTCCACTGTCATTTCTCTTCTTCTGCATCTCTCAGTTGTCTGTTGCCTGCGGGGCACTTCATGTCACTGAGACATGTTGCATGGGAGGCAGAGGAAACTCTACAGTGCAGCAGATTGTGATGGTTTATAGGAACTGTTGTCTGTAATGGCTTTTTTCTATTCAGCATCCTCTCAGCTGATGAATGCAACGTGTGCATGAGTACAGATATGTTTGTGGGTAGAACAAAGAATTCATTCATGACATATGGTGGCTCCGCATGCATATAAGATAAGCAGTATGCTGGAACCACCCCCGCACTGATAGCTGTGTTTCACACCATGTATAAATTAGATATTTTCCATTATCAAAGCAAATCAATCCCAGCTGCAGTCCTCTGCGCTCCTTCATTGTTATTCTGCTTTTATGATTTTTCTTTCAGAGAAACTGCAGCTCAAGAATCAGCAGCGTTCTTGGTATTTTAGTGAAGTTGTGATATATTTATGAAATGGTTTAAGTCCTCGCAGGCAGACCTTGACGAGCTATGAATACTAATGTCAGGAGAAAGTTAATAGGGACGGGTGGATTTTTGAAAATGCAATAATTTTAAACACGCAGAATGGAGCACAGTTATATTCACTCCACATGTGAGTGCAAAGTTGTTGGAAGTCAGTATTAATAAAAGGCAGGACGACTGCACACTGGCTCCAAACCACAATTACAGAGCAGACAAAAACATGAGATTTATTTTAATATTTGCAAATGTTATACTTAAGAACAAATTCAAGGTACTTTTATCCAACTTTTATTCTTCTACTCTGTTCCATCTCAGAGATACTTTTACTTCACTATACTTATCTGACAGCTTTAGTTACTTCTCAGATTACAATTTTTCATACCCTTCCTGTCCAGTGAAATGCATGTATCTTTAATTTTGGTGATTACCGGCCATGACAGCCGGGCTACCTAACCCTACCAGCACTTTACCAGCAGTGGTGTCACAACTGTGCAAGATGCAGTCGCAAAACGTTGACGGTGTGTAGCTGAGATTACAGTGAAGGCTGAGTTCAAAGATGGGAATGGTCCAGTTCAGAAGTGGCCATTAGCCCCCCACATTACGCCCCAGGCCCACATTCATTTGAAGTTGCAGATTGCTATAGCACAGCTGGTGTGATCACCTCGAAAGATGAACTCTAGAGAAGATGAACTCCTACTTTTTAAAGGTAAATAAACTCTTAAAAAACCCTCCCGGATCAGCTGGAGAATGCATCGTCACAATGCTAATATGGTCGCTGTATCGTCTTCGGGATATATGTGCTTTTAATTGAGTTTTTGTTGTATACTTGTTGAATTGTTATCACAGGTTGGATAATTAAACTGTTAGCAGAGCACCTATCTGCCTACTTGTATAAATATATGGATATGGCCACCATTTTATTACAATTTAACCTGGAAAAGACCTGATTGGATAAAAGCATTGTCTGTTTAAATAGAATTGTAGTTTGGACACATTATGCAGGTGTTACTCTTCTCAAGACTTATTTTTACCTTTTAAGTAAAACAATCTAAGTATAAAGTGGAAATGCTACCTTCAAATGAAACTACTGCCAGACAACAGCAACATGGATGTCTAAAAGCCACCAAAGCTAACAATTTAGCAAGCTAGCGAGCAGGATATGTAATGCAGGAAACACAAAACTGTAATAACAGAAGAAAAAGGTGAAGCAGTTGGGAAATCAACATTTTCCTCAGACATAAAAGTATGAAGAAAAACTGAATATGACTAAAACAAACTCCAGACTTTGACCCAGGAGACCGGTGTTCAAGACCAACAACATTGATTGTGGCGTTTGTGGAGCCCAAAGCCAGATGTTCTTTTAGCGACACGCAGATTCCTTTCTAGCCGTGTTTGTGCCACTAAAAGCCGGGTATTTCTTAGCGTCAAGCATGATCTTTCCTAACCATAACCATAAAGTTTTGTTCCCTAAACCAAATAGAAGTTCTTTGCAGTAACTATCCCTAGAAATGAACTGTGGAAAACAAAATGCAGTGTCCTGTGTTGTTGGTCTGAGGAAAACCGAAAGAGATCTGGTTGTCTTTGCAACAATGGCGCCAATAATAATAAAACCTGAATATGCTAATGGAGGAGAGGTTACTTAAGAGGTCTCTATTAAAAGTCTACTTAAGTCAGAAATAGCTGCCTTATGTTTTGAAATGTTATAACATTTACTGTGGTTTTTACTGTCCAGCACCCGTCCTGGTTTCCGAGAACTTGTCTGTATATCTTTCTCTCCCCGTCATCTCTGTCATAAATCAATACCTTATCCACTTGACCCCGGGATATTTTCCCCCCGTTGGACATAAACAAGTTCAGTTTCCATGAGCCTTGTTTTGATCCCTCACACTCTGTACAGACTGAGCTCAGCCTCCTTTGTCCTCACAGGCACATCGGCTTATCAGCAGGGCCACAAACCTGCTCCTTTGTCTCAGTCCCGACGGTGCAGAAAATCCTAAAGTTTAAAAATAGCTGCCGAATGAGTAACTGAGGAACACTTTGCATTTAATAAGTTGATGGTAAAACCGAGAAGAGCGCAATGAGTATTAGGGGAAAACGCTGAATCTCCCGGAGCAGGCTGAAGTGGACGACTAATTTGAAATACAGTCACAGTCGCAGAAGCTGTGCTACATACTTTTAACACCACAGGGAGTAGCAGTTGTTTGATCATTGTATTGATTTCTTACAAGGATAAAAAATGGCTTCGTCCTTGGTGGCGTACAGGGCTGTATTTCTGTCTAATAAGAGAATGACAAAAATATTTGCCCTTTACCCCCTGGATATAGGTTACGTATTTAATACTGGCACCAATATATCTACTGTCTTTGTCCTTGATTAGATTTAATGGAGAATTTGGTTAAAAAAATGAAACTCATTTTCATTATTTATTCAAGTTTTTAAACATAGAAAAATGTGGGTTGTTCAGCGGCGCTTTGTGTGGGTTGAGGTGCTTTATAGCACCGCTGCCACTCAAAGAACTTTTAAACAACCTGCTTTTTCTTTAGATTATAAATCTGTGGGAAACACTGCAGTCTAACAAAAACACAGATTCTATCAGCCAGGGTTTGTGACATCACAAACCTAAAAAAAACAATCCCATGAGCTTGCAGCAGGGTTTTCCGTATTGTTAGCAAAACACTCTGGCGAAACAAAGGGTATCAGAGGAGAAGCCAGGTGTAGCTACATATCTGACGTGCACCTCCCCAGAAATGTAACTAGACGTCTAGCATTTTAAGTCTTGTGTGTGATTTATCCTGGCTTCATATGAGCAGAGGAAATCTCTGCTCATCGCTAGGCTAATTTATACAATGTAAAATGCCATAGGCTTGTGCTAATAACGTTAGCATGTTAGATTTGTTTGGAAAACGTGTTTAGTATAAGACAGTTGTTTTGTCAGTGAACCTTGTGAGTTGTAATGGAGCCAAATTATGTGCCATTACCTTTGTTAAATGCTGTTGTCCCTGGCTTCATATAAGAAGAGGAAAAGTCCGCTAGCTGCTAGGCTAATTTATACAATGTAAAATGCCATAGGCTTGTGCTAATACATGTTGTATTTGTGGGGAAAATGTGTCCAGATAAAGACAAGTGTTTGTCTGTGAATACTGTGAGTTATAGTGAAGCTGATTTGTGTACTTGTGTTTGAAATTGTCTCTATTAAGCCATGTTTAATGTGTGTTTTGAATCAACTAAACTTCACAGAAACCTCCGCCGCCAACTAGTGTTTTGTGACACACCACCGCACAAGTATAAATGGCCACAACAGCATAGGCCACCTGCGTAGGCTACAGCGTAGGGTCTGCATAGAGCTTAAGCACAAATATAAATCCTGCTTTAGTTTCACCCTCAGGTCTAATTAAACACTATTTAGCTGAATTATGGGAAATGTAGGATCAAGTGCTAGACCTCAAACTAGGGACAAAGACTCAGTACATCTCAGTTAAGTCTTGTCCGTCATGCCCCTTTTCTAAACTCATAAATCCTAAATAGGTATTTTTGCCTTCATTGATTGCAGCTCGTACAGAGTGCAGAGCTTGGTCATGCACCAATTCCTTTGCTCACTAGTGTGCAACGTCAGCAACCACTGATTTGTACATATTGCTGTGCTGTCGACTGAGTTACCAGTGCACACTTTGGACAAATCTGCAGCGAGCAACTGAAAGCTCAGCGTAAAACCAGGCCAATGGGAGGTCACAGCAGAGACAGTGAGAATTAGCTGTTGGTCACTGCATGGGTTTCACTAAGTTATTGCACAACATTTAAGGCTTATTGTGTTCCTTGTTTTTGTCCTGCAGCCCACACAGTTTGTGTATTTCAGGCCCTTTGTGCTCTTGTTATCCCTGTAACCTACATTTAATCCAGCAGGACCGGAGTGGACGTGTTAACCTGGTTGGACCCTCACTCACTATGACTCAGTTATCTGTTTTTCTGCTCAAACCAGACAGCCGCTGGGTCCTGCCGAGCTTTTAATGTCTCGCAAAGAGAGAATAAATGAAGAGTGGGCATTAAAAGATGAGTCATTGGAGCAGAGTGAAGCTGTCTTTGTATCGTCTCTTGTTGTCAGTTTATATGCAGTAGTAGAAAGTGTCAAAGCATTGAATGTGAGTGAGGAGTAGGCAGAGTACACTCATGGTGCGTTACCTTGCATTGAACAACCAGAGCTGTGAGGAGGGTCGAGCTGTCCGTGCCCTCGCTCTTCTCAGCTGTCTGTCTGGCTCCGGCTTCGCTGCTGTCGTCCTCTTCGTCCGATCGTAAGCTCCTCTCGCTCTCCTCCAGAGACTCCCTCTCCTCTGTGGAGTCGTCTGCAGTGCTCTCGCTCCTCTCCTCGGTGTCAGCAGGTCCGTCCTTGGTGTCAGCCAGCGGGGAGCGAACCCTGGCGTTGGGGTCCCGGGCCTCCCCTCGCAGCCGCGTGATGTTTCCTTCCAGCAGACGGCGCTGGACGATGCTGTGAGGTTGCTGGAGGGAGAGACACAAGAGAAATAGGTGTCAGATGGCAGGTTTCCTTAGCTGCTAGTAGAAATGGAAGATGAGTCCAATTTTACACCAGAAGAAAATGTCAGATGACATTGTACATTTCTGCAAACCACAAATATGTAACATTTGTGCATTTGTGTACTTTGTGATCTGGAGGTGGAGGGGACGGTGGATGTTGTGACACCTAGACGAGATGGACTGTAGACCACTGTTCAAGATCAACAAACAACAACATTTTTTTTGTTTTGTTTTTCATTAAGGAAGTCATCGCTGCATTTCCAGCAGCTTTTTAGCCACCAAATGTGTGTGTTTTCTTGCGACCGGTCATTGTGTTTCTACCAGGGATAGTGCCACAAAAAGTGGTTGTTTTTTACTGAGACATCACTGCATTTGCTGCCAGGATAGTGCCACAAAAGCAGTTGTTTTTTTACCAACACATTGCTTCATTTTCTGCTGGTATTGTGACACGAAAGCCAGATATTTTAAGCTCCAACATGATCTTTTCCTAACCATAACCAAGTGTTTTTTGTGCCAAAATCTAACCACATGTTAACCACAGCATTGTTGAAATGTAAAGAAACGTAAAGTATCCGCTACATAATGTACAAATGTAATGTAACTGTGGTTTGCAGAAATGTACAATGCCATCATTTATTATGACAAAGGGTCAATAAATAGGATATGTCAAATAAAGGGATAAGTGAAGGCTGGTACTGATGGTTGTAGAACTTCACTGAGGATGCTTGTGCAATTGTTTCAGTCATTTTTCAGGCAAAACTGCACAAAGTTGATGATTACAGGTTCTCAAATATGAGACTTTGCTGGTTATCTTGACCTTAAAATACTTTAAATTTGGGTACTGGACTGATGGTCAAACAACAGACATTTGAAGACTTCTGATGAGAAGATACTGTTTTCTGATATTTTTTAAACATCACATAATCAGCAGATTACCTCATAATGCAAACAATCAATAGTTGCAGCCCTGCACATGACTATACAAATCTTGAATTTAAGGTTTTCTCCTGAATTCTTAGAGAGTGACACATCTCTGAAACACTGAGACCATGGGACAATAAAAGTCACACAGAATCCAGGCTGATTATGCAGAGCTGAACAATATAAACTGGCAGCTGATAATTCAGTGCATGTCAGAGAATAGACAACGTCATAATTATCTCAACAGAGTACGTCACAGATAGCTTGTGAAGCAAGGTACATTTAATCTGAATACGAGATATACGTACAAGATATGTAGGTCATTGTGTTGAAGGATCATGTCAGCGTAATGTCCAGATCATCTGCACATTGAGAGAACGTGACATTTTGCCCCCACAGCAGTAATGATGAAGCTTATTTATGCACATTTATGCAGGTTCAGATGAAGTGAATTAAAATCAGTCCCATACAGACAAATGCTAGAATTAATCTGATCTAATCTGCATCATACGCTGTATTGTACAAGGTCAACAACACTGACCACTGTTGCTTTATTATTTCAAAGGAAAATTGGCTTCATTGCACAAAATCAGCAATTAGATATATTTGTATATATGTCAAATACAACTCAATGTTAAAGGGACTTATCATGCTTATTTTTAGGGTTATACTTTGGGGTTTCTACTAGAATTTGTTTACATGCTTTAATGTTTAAAGATCACTTTATTTTCCTCATACTGTCTGTGCTGGAACACTTGTCTTCACCCTCGGTCTGAAACGCTCCATTTTAGCGCCTGTCTCTTTAAACTCCCTCCCAAAAAAAAGGTTAGTCTGCTCTGATTGGACAACATCTCCAGGTCTCCCGCATCCCTGCATCATTACAGCTGGGGAATGACTGTAAAAGATAATAGTGACACTTTCTATTGTGAAATATCACCAGTAAAAGCTTCTTAACACAACCAGATATATAAAGAGTAGGAATCTGATCTGAAATTTGGGAGAAATTAATAACACCAGCAACACTGATTACATGTTTCCCTGATGTTAGCATGTAGCTACTTGTAGCAGTGAAATTGCAGCCAAGGAATGACTCTTAACTAAGAAGAACAGCACATCATGTCTTGAATAATCACCAATAAAAGCTACTAAACCAAAATCTTTACAACCAGACATGTTCCAGCAGGAATCTTGTCTGAAATTGGGGAGAAACTACCAACAACAGCTACCAAGATGACAGGTTTCCCTGATGTTAGCATGTAGCTACATGTATCAGTGTATGTATTGTAAACACTTGCAGTGATGGAACAGCAACAGCAAGCAGATGACCATTTAAAGACGTCATCTTGTAGCCAAAGAAGATAAAGAAAACATTAGAAACAGTATTCAGAGCAGTCTGAAGCCTAACCTTTTTGCTCACAGGGGTTGCTCTAACATATGTTCGCCTCAGTACTTGAAACGTTGCCCATGTTTAATATGAACATTCGACACTGTACCATTATATATACAACAGAAAACATGGAAAAGCAGAGGTGACATTTCAGGTCTGGAATTAACTGCACCATTTCTCACCAGTACCGAGTACACAGCAAGCAAGATTTCTGTCTGACCACCTTTACTAATGTCTCAGTGCTGCCAGTTTCAAATGACTGCAGGTGCACTTAATGAAGTTAGTAATTTAGGTCCCTGGCAAAATCAGCCTGTTTCCTTCTCAGACAAGAAATGAGCAGAGGAGAAAATGTGCAGCTGCTGTGTGAGGTGCTCTATGAGGTGCAGTTTAAGATTTCTGCTCCTATTTCCAAAGTCGTCTCTCCATAAATTAGATAGATAGATAGATAGATAGATAGATAGATAGATAGGTTATGTGTGATGAATTACTAGAAACAGATATTATTACAAAGAATGATTTGCACCCTCAAATTTACAAATCTTGCAAATGATTTTATAATTTTCAGCCCACAAATACCACATATGCATGTTATGCAGAATGCTGATTTACAATCCTTATTAAGACCTTGACAATCAGCTGTCCGGCAATGTTGGGGCATCGGTGAGCCGCTGTTGCCCTATTCTTTGCAGTGTGTCCTGCAACCTTGGACTTTGTCTGCCTTTGTCGGACCGAATTGGCTTTTTTGGGTTGATTCAGCTGATTCAGCATGTTGAATCTGCGTCGGAGCCAGCAGAGCCTGTCGATAAATAAAATCCCACCTATTGGCGGTTTAGCTCCGTGCATGTAAGAAGAAATGGAAGTGAGGAAAGTAAACAAAAGGCTTAAGTCAAGGCGGAGTGAGGCCAAAACAAACTTGTTACATAAGTTCAGATTACTTTTCTTTAGCCACTTAGATCTTTAGGGGAAACGTTTCCAGATGGTTTGTGTTATTGATCACTGGTGCAAGAAAAATATGCTCTGTTCTTTCAGTATTGCATTGTGTTGTTTATGTGCTAACCGGCTAACTAGCATCTTGAATCGGTCCTGTCGGTCTTCCAGTTTCCTTTTTTGTATGACCAATACAGAGTACTGCCGTCTACTGGTGTAGAGTTCTTTCTTCTCAAACAGGTGGCGTTGTTGGCTGTAATTTTTACAGTGTGCTCATGTGCAACTTTCTGGCCCAGACACAACAACGTGAGGCTACGGAACAGTCAGCTTACGTTACAGCTAGTTCTTTGAAGTCGGCCCAGACACACCAAGATGTTAGTGAGTGTCTCCAAACCTCCCTATACCCAAAAATATTGGTAACATTTTAGATTACAGCCTGCCACATGGAGTGTAACTCAACCCACTTCGCAGTGTATTTTTTGGTGTACCATTACAGTACATAATAACCACATATAAATGAAGGTAAAGAGGAACAAGATACAGTTAAGTTAATCTTTAAACCAAACAGGTGTTCTAATATCATGTTTCACGGAGAGCCGCAGACACAGTTTATAAATGATGTTTGCTGGTGAGCTGAGTGAGACTGTGAAGCTGTGGTTGAGAGGTGCTGGGTTATGTATAGCTCTTGCCTGTGGTTTCAGCATTAGGTCTGCTTGTCTCCAAAAATTCTCCGGAGATGAGTCACACAGAAACGAATTTTTAAGCCAAAAGCCATCACACTGTAGCAAACAGAGACCATTGTGACCACTGTGGATACTGAGGTGGGGTACAGATTTAAGCAGGCATAGCATTGGCTGTGGCATTTCAAATCCTCCTCCGCCCCCCTCACCATACACACACACACACACACACACACACACACACACACACACACACAAGGTGACACACACTGAGATTTAAATTGCTAACTTTATCGTCAGTGCAAAAAAGCTTTCCAAACTACCTGAGATGAAGGTCACATTATCATGTCATGAAAGCCAGTTCAAGGGATGCTTTTAGGTCATCACTGTCAGCAGACATTACAGGATGTCTGGTACAGCTGCCATGTTACGTGCTAATACTTTCCGGGTTTCACCTGGAGTCTTTTAATAGACCAAAGCAGTTGCACAATCTATTAGAGTGTCGATGCACACAGCACTTAAAGAAGACAATGGGTTGTATTTAAATAATCTATAGCTTGGTCTAAGTGCATGGTGCAAGAACACTGAGGGCATGTCCAACTCCACTTCTGCTAGTTAAGCGGCGTATAATCTGGGCGCAAAGTAAGGCATAAAAGCGCACAGTGTCTCTCTTAATGTGAAGTCAGACAGCAGCTCTGCTCTGCTCTTTGCTACGTTCACAATTCAGAGAATGTCATTAATATTTTCCTCATTAATGATGTATTATATTACCCACCCACAACCCATCTGTGCGTCTTTGGGTGTGTAACAAACAGTGTGTGCGCACGTTGAGAACCTGCCTGTGTAGGTGCAGCTTACTATCATAATGCACACTTTAATAGCAGGAGAGTACTGTCTGCACAATTGTGACTTTAGACTAGGTTTCTGTTGGTTAATGACGGAGTTGCTTTCTGCTGCTTAGACAGTGGCAATACACCAATAATGTACCTACACACCGATTGCCACACAGTGCACGTCATAGACTGCACAAGAAATGGACATAGCTACCA